TTGCCTGGCATTGTGTGATAGGCTATAGGCTTTACTGAACTTGAGATTAGTCTGATACGGGCTTTATTTGACGTATAAAGCCTATCACACAATACCAGGCAACAGGCAATAGGAATAGGGAATAGAATTTTTGACGTATTGGATTCGTCGGAAATTTTCGTTCAACCAATCCAACGCGTCAGAAATTCTATTCCCTGTTCCTGTTGCCTGTTGCCTGGCATTGTGTGATAGGCTTTAGCCAGCGTTTCCAACGAGAATCACTCTAGTGCAGGATCGCGACGCCAGGCGGCGTCGCGGCAACGGCGCGCGGAAATGCTGGCGCGATACGCCATCGGTGTTCGCACTGCTTCCTACTTGTCCGTAGTGGTCGGTACGTATACGCTCTCGGTGGAATCGGCGGAGAGAGAAAACCGAGTCGGGTGGGAGCCGCACGAGAGGCGTATCCGCTGAGACCTCGCGTTTCGCTTGCCGCGGACCCGGCGAGACGACTCGACGAACGCGATCGCTTGTGTTCGCGCGACCCTCGGGAACCCGAAGCGGGACGAACGGCGAAAAGTGACGCAGCACCGTATGCATCGCGCGTGTCGGTAATCTCCTTTTCTCTCTGTCTCTCTCTTCTTCCTCCCCTCTCGTTCTTTGTCTCTCTCTCTCTCCCTCCCTCCCTCCCTCTCTCGCTCGTTCTTTCTTTCTTCCGTCTCTCCCTCTCCCATTCGGAGTGTCAAAGTTCCGAGACTACTCGTCGACGTATCCGTCGTCGGTGGTGGCCGTCGATGTAGGTTACGAGAAGGAGAAACGGAACGGTTCTCGGGGTGCGAGTCGTGCAAGTGTGACGCGGCCGGGCGGCGACGGACACGCACCTCCCACGGGGGTAAGAGGAAACGGGACGTCGTGCACGGCGGTACATCGCGAGTGCGAGCGGGTGTAGCTCTGGGGGGGCGGGAGGAGGGGGAGGGAGCCCCGAGCGAGAGAGGATCCGGAAAGTGTTGCGTTCGGCGGGACGGAGGCGTGCGAGATACGGAGGAGAGCGAGCTCCGGAGGAGCAGAGTCTCGCCCGCCTATCACGGGGGAGGCCGTCATAAATGTGCACGTTCTACGTAGATTGCGCGATCTATGCACGGTCGACGGGCCGATCTGTCGGTGGCGAGTGCTGATCGAGCCTGACGCTCCCGCGGCTCCGCCAGCGAGTCGACGTTAAAGAGTCATCATCGGTCGCGCGGCGCTGCGCCTGGTCGCCGCCGTCGCCGCCGACGTCGCCGACGTCGCCGTCGCCCCGAGAAGCAGCTAGCCCAGCGCGGCGTACCTATCTAACGGCGTGCCCCTCGACGACGCAAAGCAGGTTAAACATTAAACTCTCGACACTCGTCGTTTCCACTCTCTTGGCAGGTGTCCGTCATCCCGAGAGAGAGAGAGAGAGAGCGCGCGCGCGCGCGCGCGCGCTTATTAGCGAGCGAGACAAGGAAAGAAGGAACTGTGTACCCCCCTCGAAGAAACGGGACGGGAGGTGGCAGGAAGATGTTTATACCGGAGGATGCACGCTGGCGCATACTTCCGGGCGAAAGAGGCGAGGGGAACGCGCGCGCGTGTCGCCCTGTCACCCAAAGTTGGAGGAGGGGGGGGGGGGAGGGAGGGCAGTGCGCTTTCCGTGAACGAGAGCCTTCCACGCCGCCCCCCTTCCCTGCTCCCCGAGGGGGGAGGGAGACATCCGATATTTCCGATGTTGCTGACGTTTCGACGGGCGGTGACAAGTTACCTCAGGGCAGTGACAATCGCGGCGCACTCATTCCCGGTTCCCTTTATTCGCCTCTCTCGCTCGTCCGCTCGCGCTCTCTCTCTCTCTCTCTCTTTCTCCCCCCTCCCCCTCGCGGTCTTTTCCGCTATCTCGCATCATCCATCTCCGTCTGTCTCCCTCTTATTTGCACACGCACACGCCGCGAGGCGCTTGCGCGCGCGCACGCACACACACACACACATACACACATGTAGTGCGACGTGTGTACACACGCACGTAGGCGCGTGCGACAAACAGATATACACGGCACGGCCGTTCCGCTCTTCATCGCGCCCTCGCGCTTACGTCGATGCATCGTTTTAACGGTTTCTCATAATTTTTGCCGACGACACCCGCTCAAGGTTACGGAGGTTGTCGGTGACGTAGACGATCGCATTCCGGCGGCTTTTCCCCTTGGACTCGGCGGAGGCGGGGCGACTCGCTCGGCGGCGGCCCTTTTCACGAGCGTTACGCCGCGCACGTACTCGGGGATCTCGTGATCGCGCCGAGTGCAAGTCGGAGCCTGGGTGCATCGCTCCCTCCCCCTCGGCCCCTCCCTCCCCCTCCGCCGCGCGCGCGCTCGCGCTATTGCTCTCCGTGCGCGCCGAGAGGAGGGCCTCTCCCCCGCGAGGGGGAGGGCGGGGGGGGGGAGGAAAGAGAGGAGAGAAAAATAATGCCACGGGGATTCGTACGGACACGTTCGAGCGGACACGTTAGTCGCCTAATTGGCTAATGTAATTACTCCGCGCCGGGGGGGGAGGGGGATCCTAATGGGTTAAGGAGAGCTCGCGAGTGTTTTCCCTCCTCGCCCCTCGCTCCTCCCGGCAGATAAGTCAGCAGCTACCTTTGACTTTTTATCGCGGCGCACGCATAATAAGTGATCTCTCGGCGATCCCGCGTGCGGGATTCATTCGATTAGCTCCGGTAGGCGGACCGCGCGCCCCAGTGATTCACTCCAATTCGACTCGCCTCGCCTTCGCCGCCGCCGCCGCCGCCGCCGGAGATCTCATCTCCCGAGCCGGTGCCGGGCGCCCGGCCCGTCCCGTCCCGTCCGCCGTCTCGGGCAGATTCTTTTATCCCGACGTTCCTCTCGTTTTCACCCCGCAATCGCTGTTTTTCTGGACACTCTTATCTTATCGCTGGTGCATTCGTGCCTCTGTGAGAGTATCTGCTCTCAAAATGGTCCTCCGCCTCCCTCCGCGCTTCTCTTTCCTCGCGATCCGCCGTTCTTAATTAACCGGCCGCTCTCTCGCTCGCCGCGCCGTCGTGCTCGCGGTAGTGTCTCCCCGTTGCACGCTTGTCACTTGGAGCCCGTTAGGTACGTAGAGTCGCATGATCCCGCGGCCGATGTACAAAGCGCCGCAATTAGATTCCCTGCGCGGAGCCCGCAGTTTTATCTACCAGGTGCTGCGGTATAAAGATGTTTGTTTGTTTATCGAGTCGAGCTTTCGCGCTGCAACAGCAGCTGAAATATCTAGAAGATACTGTGACACATCGCTTCTCCGTAAAGTCTCCTCGACACGAGCTCTGAGAATTATATTTATTTTTCTGCCCTGACATACGTGCCGAGAGATCTGGCGAAATACTTGGCCTTTGTCGAGAAATACACTTTATTGTACGCTTAAGAGAAAACTTTCGCGAGAGCACTGCACTAATCGCTAGAATCTCGCAATGTGCTGCAGTTTTTCCACTCTACTTGTACTTGTCTTTTTCGTAATACTTGAACGTAGTAGAAAGTAGGCCGAAAGAAGTTGTGTTATCGGACGCGCAGAACTTGCCGTGAGACAGAAGAATCTTCCTGAATCTGACCCCCGAAATGTGTCCCAATGTAGCTAAGCGAGCTTGTTAGCGGGCGGCAAAAATTGTTGAATGAGATGAATCGAAATTGATAGCTGAACTTTCTTTCCAGGTGATCATGGCGAATCGGGGTACGGCCCAGAGGCCGAATGGATCGACACAAGGGAAAATCTGTCAGTTTAAATTAGTTTTACTCGGCGAATCGGCAGTCGGGAAATCGAGCCTTGTCCTGAGGTTCGTCAAAGGACAGTTCCACGAGTATCAGGAGAGTACAATTGGCGGTGAGGACACATTCAAAATGCGATTGCTTATGCGAATAATGCGTTATGCGCCGCTATCACGAGTATCGTTGGTTTCAGCTGCATTTCTCACGCAAACCGTATGTTTGGACGACACGACTGTAAAATTTGAAATCTGGGATACGGCGGGGCAGGAACGTTATCACAGTCTCGCACCGATGTACTATCGTGGCGCACAGGCAGCCATTGTCGTGTACGACATAACAAACCAGGTAGATTAGTCAGTGATTTGTGGGAATGTTTAACGGAGAAGAATATCTGTAAAAAGGATTTTAATCGATGCCCGTGCATTTGTTATTTCTCAACAGGATACATTCTCACGTGCCCAAACATGGGTGAAGGAATTGCAGCGCCAAGCCAGTCCGAGCATAGTAATAGCATTAGCTGGAAACAAGGCAGATTTGGCAAATAAGAGAGTCGTCGAGTACGACGAGGCTCAAACGTATGCGGATGAAAATGGCCTTCTTTTCATGGAAACATCTGCTAAGACGGCAATGAATGTCAACGACATATTCCTTGCAATTGGTGAGCCGTGTATACCTTCGTTTCTTCCCCGTCGATCATTTAATTGTACATTGTCGCAGATAACCGCATAAAAATTACGCTATAAAAGTAACGTTGGTATTTTTAAGTTGTTTAAATGTGTACTATTGGTTGAGCTTCAAACTGTGTTTAAATTTTCCGTTTTACTTGATAATACGTACGCGATCGGAAATGTTATCCCATCTGGTGTTACGCGTTATCACTAATTAAAATGCATGGCAACTCTATATCTGCTGATAATTGAATAGCGAAAAAAAGACATTCTCTACAACTTTAAAACACTTTGATACAGTTTGGCTACAGCGAGATAATTTTTTTACAGCTAAAAAGCTTCCTAAAAACGAACAATCAGGAAGCGCAAGTACGAGTGGTCAAGGCCGTCGATTAGTCGAGTCAGATGGGCAAAAGGCAGCAACCGGCAATTGCTGCAAGTGATTATCTAAATCCGTATGTGTCTCACAATATATTCGTATCTATATTTTTACATTATTTGAATAAATATCTATATATATGTATGAATATATATATGAATATATATATGAATATGTATATATACATATACCATCTTGAAAATTAATTGAATTAATAAGAGACATTATTCCACTAATGAGAGAAACCAGCAAATATTTGATATGCCTAATGAATATGTTACGAATCAAACACACGTTCGGTGTTACAACATGTTCACATATTTTTATAATATTAGAATATATAATGAAACGAAAGTGCGGTCAAAGGAAGAGAACGGGGAAACGGGAAATATATCAATTTGATATTGCGTAGAAGTAGACATTTGCACTTAAAAATGCTTTAGCCGATTTTTGTATTAGTATCATAATATGGGGTATCTGAGTAGTCATGCAGTTTCATAGAGTATATTATATTTCTTGTTATGTTTATGATATTTTTTATAGCGTCTAATTCTCTTCTCTCGACTTTTGCCTTCTTTTTATTTACTCGAACAGTAGATAAATCAAGGCAGGCTGGAAATAGACAAGAAGATAAAGAGCTTACTTGTGAAAGTAAGATCCGATATATATATATATGACCATCACATATATAATACGCAGGATACAAATGTAACTGTAATATTGCTGTATAATACTTAGCTAACATTGACAGTCTCTTGTAATTAAAAGGTGGCTTACACAAATGTGAAGACAACTATTCTAAATTTCATGATGTTTCCATGTTAATAGTGTATCTATACTTATTTCTCAGAGAACGTTCTTTTAGCATTATCGCAGTATGTTTGTTCAAGCCGTTCAGTACACACAAACGTCAATACAAACATCTAATATAATAATTCCATATACTCTTAAAATAATTCTTTAACCAAAAATCTTTTATTCATTTTATTGAATTGTCATATTATAAAGGGTGTTATACAGTGTCGCTGTTAATCGATCCTTTAATAGTAAATCTTTAATATTTTTTTAAAAATATATTTCTACTAGATTTAAATGTAGCATTTACATTACTGTGACAGCTTTATTAAAGTCAGAGTCCTCATTATTTGCGCATGAAAATTGTAATCTATGTGATGCGTTTCAAAGTATGATACTTCAGTATCCTCCTTTTATCGTATATTTATTTGTGATTAAGTGCACTATTCAAAATTTCGTGAAAAGAGAAATCGTCTAATATAAGACACTAGATATCCCTTAGGCAACGTTGTAGTGTTTACATGACACTATTTATAGATATTATAAATTTGTAAAAGTTTTCTTTCTCGTTTGGAGAACTAATTTCTGACTGATAAAGGTGCTACAAGAATACATGTGCATGATATCCATTGTGCAAGCTTATGGAGATGTTTCTTGTAATTTATGATAATGCTCCCATTTCCTGTGCAATGATTCGTATCATTGGATTGTGTATCTGAAATATTATTTTGTAATAATAATAGGTAAAACAATTTAAAATTGTTACGAAAAAATGAAAATTCTCAGGGTGCAATCCTCCTCTTCAATCTCTAATATTGTTGTATCCTAATTATATATTTATTTTTATTTCCGCTATAACATACGACTGTCTAGATATGTTTCTGTTAAAAAAACCACAGGTAGGTTCAATTATTCCTGTATAGAGAAGATTTTAATATTCACCAGGCAAATAAAGTGTTTTACAGTAGTTACAGTCTTTGTGCATTGTAGATATTTAACAGGTTTAATACAGTACATTATGGAATCGTGCATTGTGACTCATTCTCCTTATCATTTAAAAAAACGATCTTTATATATATTCGTAAGTCGTACACTTTGCATTACACTTGAAAAAAAATTAACAACGACATACACGCTACTTGAACGATTATTTATTGCCGTTTTATTTCTACGGAGGAAATTATTTATTTCTCAGAGATTCTTGATTAAATTAGGTAAGTTGCAAGTAAATTGTTAATTATCCAGGAAAGTTTACATCTCTCGACACAACGTCATCGATACAATTTTGTATCGTTGGCCTGTAAAACTTCATTGAGTTTAATTAATTGCTCGATGTTTTTGCTTCTAGTTATACCAATTAAATTTGCATTCATATATACGTATTTAGAATAATATTGCAGTAGACGCGCTATCTATTTCTGATTACAGATATGTACTATAATCTACAAAGATAAGTACACCACGAGTGTGCTACGATGAATTTGAGAAGAAGACACAACAGGGGAAAAATACAGAGTGGGAAGTGAACTGTGTGGGACATTCGCAAACATTTGCTTGAGTGATTGACTAAGAGTCTGCGTCTCAATGTAATCGACGATATATCATCTATTTTGAGTATCAGATCTATTAAGAGGTGGTAAAAGAAAGCTCCCATTTGTAATTCTAGTAGTGTAATGGGCGGTGTTCGTTATAAATATATAAATATATATATATATAAATACATATTATATATTATAAATCATATAGGTGAATATGATTTATATATGTAATAAGTATATAAATGCTAATGATAATAAATAATATTAATAATAATAATGAATAAAAATATAACACACCGTAATTAATATTACCATAAATACTGATAAAGTAACAGTACATTTAAAATAAAATATGCAACGTCTAATGAATTTTTGGCACGCGGAGATCTTGTAAGATAGGAGAGGCTATTCCTGCTGCTATTACTATGTATTTCCTTTCTTAGTTTGTAACACGTATAACAATTTCTTGCTCTAAACTATATTGTATATTAATTTTATTGACAACTCATAATGAATTATAAATAATTACACGGCAAAAAGAATAAACTTGTGAATATTACGACGGCTTTTGATAATTGCCTATTTATTCGAACCGAGACTCTATAGACAATATAGATTTGTACAGAGAGAATTAGATAATTTATTGCTCTTTTTTTTAAAGATCTTTGTTAATAAAGATTTATTTATATATTTATTTGCTCAGAAAAATAATAATATGCTTCTATATTCAGTAGATTTACACTGGGAATCACTGATGCCTTCCCATATGAATTTAGGCACATGTAGAACACATATACATTTTCCATGTATGTATGTACTTGCAATATGTATAAATGTGTTGATACGGGCACAAATTCACGTAGGAACTAGGAAGGCATCAAGTGCACAATTCCTAGTGTATTGCTAACATCTTTCATAATCATCTGTTATGAGATACTGGGAAACTATTATGGAATATAGTATAGAAATGAATGACGTGTGTAACAGCGAGTCTGATCAAACAAATGCGATACTAGATATAAAATGCAAGTTTTTATCCGAGTGTACCATGCCGAATGACACGTTATCTAAGAGAATACATTCTGCACCTGAATTGAAAAGTAATACAAATTATGACGACATATGTGGATCTTGGAAATTCGGTAATATATCGTCGCAAAGTCAACGTAGTCGTCCACATTTTAAATTGATAACGCCCGAAGATGTAGCTTTCATGAGAAACCAGAGAGATCGAAAATCAATTTTGCTATTCCTCGGTAAAAATTTAACTTTATTAAAATATTAGGATTGCTAGTGATATAACTAGGCAAACAATAGATGTCTATTGTAATATGTTGCATCTAGACATGCTATTTTTTTCAGAGGAAAAGATTTTATCTGACATTCCACACAAGGACGAAAGCAAAGAGATACTTGTAAAACTTTTATGGCAAACTTTCAGGTTTTTCAAGTAAAATATGTAACGTTTATCCTATACTCTTAAGTGGAACAGTTTTACTTCATGCATATTAAAATCACATGTTTATGGTGCAACCAACATGATATCTGTTTCTTTATGCGCTTTACATATGATTGCTCATTATTTTTTTACTAATTCTTATAGAGAGAACCAATTCGCTGACCAACAGATTGCGACAGTTATGAAATTAATGCTTTCAACTCATAATTTTTTTCTCGCAAACTATTGGAACACAGCTGAGGATACATATAAATATTTTTTCGAACGTGTTCTTGAATGTACTGTCGTGGTAATTATCTTATCAAGCATTTTAATCATCCGTATTAAATTTATATATCGAGTATAATTATTTTCAACGTTCGCAAATTCTAGGATCCACCAACATGTGCAGAAATATTTACACCTGATCAAGCTGAGATGGTACTTGAATTTTTTCGCAAAACATATTTGGAAAATATCGTATTACTGCATCTCGTTTGTATGACTCATTATTGTATCGTTATGCGATTTGATGAAACGAAGTAAACGAACAATAATATGCTTGCACGCGTTACATAAGAAATATCTATTTATTAAAAAAAGAATACATTAATAATATGTATGTATATATGTAGAAAATTACATTTACAGAAACGAAACCGCAGCACGAACTAACATAAATCGCGTTACAAATTTCTACGTTCCATATTGAACATCAAACTTGTATCTCGCACTGTTTCTTCAGTCTTCACGAAGCTGTTCTTCATTTGCTCGTAGAAGAGGATTGATAGCCGTAATCGTGGTTTTCTTCTAATGAAGTGTCGGATTCCGTTTCGTTTTTTAAGTTTTCACTCCACCACCGATTATTTTTTTGGACCTCGTTTATTAAGTGTTCCATCTTGGGAAACCACCATGAATTGCCACAGGTTGAGGTACATCGACCAGTTTTCATTGGTTTTATTAAGTATTTCTATAAACGCAATGTAAGGCAATTAAATATCCAGCAATGCTGAGATTTAATTTTCCTTTTTATTAAGTACTAACCTTGCGAAAATCTGTATAGTTCAAATTTGAAATTAGATTTGTGCCGGCAGTCTGATGCGCCGCAATTGACGACGATATATAACCATTTATACGCCCTTTCCTAAGACCTCTACCAGTTAACTTATGCGTTCTTTTCAATTTCTGCGCCAATAAATTAATTCGTTTCATCTTCCTGATTTTAATTAATAGAGCTCTAAAAATAATTTTTACTTAAATAAATATACATACAGAAAAGCACTCTTGATTTTAGATCACAATAAAACGCAATTTTCGAATTATTAAAATATATTTGATACTTACTTTTTCTCGAATACCAGCTGCATTAAAAGCTGTTGCTTATTTTCTAAATTTTTCGCTAGGGTTTCATTGTATTTTTTCTGTTGCGCCATACAGTCACGGATGCATGAGAGTACATGTTGAGATTCTTTGCAGAGTTCTGATCTACTCATAGCTGTTTCCGTTAAATCAGCTGACATGTAAGTTAGAGATCGGTCCTTTAAGTGACATTCCCTTTTCAATTCGAGCAAAGACTTGCCCATGTCTTGCAACTAACAAACAACAGCTTGAGATTAAGAGTTGTAATGGATATAAATAGAATGTATGGAAAAAATTGTATCTATCGATTATGCATAGTGTGACGAAGAAAATTAAGAAAATATTCAAGTTAATATATCTTGTTCAAGGGACAAAAGAGTATCCATACCTCAGATATGTATGAAGAATTATTTTGTTCGAGTGAAACTTTTTGAACATCAAGATGATAATTCTTCTTCATGTACTCCTGCAACTGCTGAATCAAGTCGCGGTTTACATTTTCAGCTTTTGTTAATTCCTCTTTTTCTCTCTTAAACTAGGAAAATCAAGTCAATGATTTATTTCGCCCATTAACTTCGAATCTATAAATAATATAAGTTATTCGATAATATGTAAACATACTTCTTGACGCATAACGTCCAAATGATCGGTGTGATTCTTGCATTTATCTCGCAATTGACAAAGTTCAATATCTTTCGACGCGAGTGTTCTTCTTGTCTCTTCCAATTCTTCGTTTAGTTTGTCCACTAAGTCGCGAAGACGAATCGCTTCACTTTCTACTTCTATAATCTTGGAACGATAATCTTTTTCCTAAATGAGATAAGTACATTTATAATAAATAATTTATACATATATTTTTAATGCAATAAATTATGTTCCATAATAATGGATTACCATAATCGTTAACGATTCTTGCGAGTCAGCTTCTCGTTTTATTGCAGACATTAGTTGTTTCTTAACTTCATTGAAGTTTTCAGTCATTTGTTGATAATTGTCTTCTGTTTGGCGCAATTTTATACGTGCCTCCTTGAGCTAAATAAATTTAAAAAAATAAAACATTCGTCTCTTTTTAAACAAAAATATAAATGATTATGTATACATTACCTTCTCTTTCAAATGTAAAATATCTTCTTTGGTTTGAGTCTCAATGATGTCACTCTGACTCTTGAATATAGAATTTTCATTCTGTAAATATGATAAATATCTCAATAGACAATAGATATCTAAATTAATTTTCTATTCTATTATGTGTTAGACATTGATACGATTATCTACATACCTTAAGCAATTCGTAATCTGCTTGTAATTTAACCATGCTCTCCAATTTCTCTTGCAACAGAATTTTCAAAGAATATATTCGGTCACACAAAACAATCACCATCTCGTGCTCTGATATATCCAATTCAGATAAATTTTCGTCCGTTTGTTGATGATCATTTGTGAGTAATCTTTTCTGAAGTACTTCAAGTTCGTGAGATTGATGTTTAATAGTTGCTTCGCTACTGATAATTTGGTCGTTCAAAGTATTGACCTGCAAATTTTTTACATTGACTAATTTACTTCCTTTAAAAAACAGATATACAATTTTGATAACAAAGAATAGTATCTGTTCTTTGTTATCAAAATATAATACTAGATATGGCTTCCGGGGAGTGGAACGTGCAAGTTTATCATTTTATCTCGACGTTTCATAAACATTCCACTTCATGAGGAACAATTTGATACTGTATCGGTTTCAAGCCGGAAGCTAAACCTAGTATTTAACTACGTACACCGTGAGAGCCTCACATAATATCGTCGGATGCCACTGAGATCTACTAGATTTTGTTAATATTTGTACATACTTTAATTGCGAAATATAAATTATTAACGAGATTTTTTATATTTTCACTTGGCATTGTGTGTGGTTAGGCCGATTTTATAAAGAAGTAAGACACTTTAAAAGTAATATAAAACTGGCGTAAGAGGACGAAGAATTTACCTCTTTCTTCCCATTTTCTAGTTTGAACAAAAGTTCCTCATATTCACTGTTCTTCTGCTCTAGTTTCTTCATCAGATTCTCAGTCTCTGATACGTGATGCTGTAGACTAGTTTTAAGTTGCTGATTTTCGCATCTTAAACCGCACTCGGTACCTTTTACCTTTTGCAATTCAACTCTTAACTGTTCTATCTGAACAATGTTCTCCATCTGTGCTTCTTTATCTAAAATTTAATCCACTTGTATCTATAAATCTTAATTTTTTAAATTTAGATTTAATTTGCGTCATTAATTAATTACATGAACGTCTTTCCATACATGATATTCCATAAGTGATGCTGTTTGAGTATCCAAAATCTCGAGTATCGCAGTCTTTGTCTTCAAGATATATCGCGCATGATTGGTTTGTGCATTTGCTTTTGGCATAATTATTCGTCTGCATAGAACTATTCATCTGTAACAAAATACATTCGGATATATACACTAAAACTAAAAATATCATTAAAGAATATAAAATATTTCCAGTATTATACCTTCCATTTTAATTCCCGGAAATCTTTTACGTGCTCTCGTATTTGCACCTGCAAAAATTTAAATTAAGTTACTTCCATCAAACAAAAGATTCTTTTCAATTCTTTAAATATTATATCAAATTAATATAACAAGCATGTGTATATGAATACTGTAACATATATCATACTTTTTAAAATTATTTGTTAGCGACTACTTTAGAAAACATAACAATTATTAGCATGCATGTACATTTTTTTATTGAAAAAGTACACAAGACCTCATTATTTCAATCATTATAAAAATGTAGACAGTAATTAAAATAAGTATTAAAATATATCATTAAAATACCACACCTGTATTTCGCTTAAAATAGAATAATATATTGCGTGTAATGTGGTAGTAATTAAACGTTTCTCATATTCCAGATAACGAATCTTTTTATGCAGACTGTCAATAGCATCTCGTTGTAGATCCAATAACATGTCTTGATTAGTTGCCTTGCGTAGAAAAATATAGATTAACAATAAAATTAGGAAGAAACTGTTAGCTAATCAATCGAGTAATAATTCTGCGGTTGATATACATAATTTTCATTTACCTGTGTAAAACATTCGTTATATTGATCCTGCGTCTCATCGATGCGCATCGTTAGCTGACATATAGTTTCATCCTTCTTGCAAAGCTGCAAAGATATTACTTACAATGCATTTACCGTACAATCCGTTCTTAAGTTTAGAAGCACAGAACACTCACGCACAATCGTGTAGTTCATGCAGTTTTGTTAACTGCACAATGCAACAGCTACAACTTGATCATCCAGGGCACTTGTTAATTCAAACAGCACGTTACGCTTGTACATGTCACAATCTCTCGTTGCCCGTAAACGGGCATTCTCAGATGTAGTATCGAGAAAGTTTCAAAAATTTAGTTTTTTAGTTAAACGAACACACGTCATGCATGGCGCTCATATTCCTCAACATTCGCGACGTCACGATGTAAAGACATTAAAGGCGAAGAGAAAGTGATCCACATGTTCGAGAATCAAATAATTTTTAATAAGCATTTATATATCGACAATATTTACAATTTTAATAAATACATGTTGGCGCGAAAGCTATATGGCAATTTAATCTATTCGTAATTCATATTTAAACATCATGCACGTTTCTATGACTAAAGGCCGAAGACGAGATCGCTGGCCTCAGCTCACTCACATCGCTCATCGTTTTATGAGCCATCTGATCCAGATTTCGTTTAGCTTCAACAACGGCATTTTGTAAATGCCCGATAGTTTGTATCTGAAGTTCATTCTGCAACGCACCGCACAACGTTAGGAAGTAATTCTTATCACAGCTACGCACACACATCGAAAAGAAAGGACAAACCTGTTTTAGCAATTCGTTCTTCTCTCTCTCATATTGCGCGGTAGTAAGGCCTTGTTTATCAATCTGTAAAAAGGTTTCCTTTATATTTTAATGCCATACGTATCTCAAAATTTCATTCTTGATAGGTAGAATCAAACAACGTCTTCGTTCTTGCAGTTAATTATCGTGTCGTTTGTCACAAAGTACATTGAAAGAGTAAATAATCACGATACCGTAATTTAAATGTTTCAGTTAAAAAATGTACGATATTGCATCTTCAAAAAACTATTGTCATAACATTTCTTCTGCTTATCGCTTAAGCTTAAATTTACACTACTCAATTTACCTTTTCTTGTAGTTCTTGACGCAGGTCTTTTACTTCCGTTTGACTCATTGCTAACGAATTCCGTTGTATCCGTACGATTTCCTCCATATTTTCTAACTAAAATAATTTTAATTTACATTCTCTAATTTACAATTATGTGCGATGCTTTCCTATATATTTATAGATCCAGTTCCGAAGAAAGATCCAAATTTATTTAAAAACAATATAGCAATATTTATAAATGTCGTATCTTATACATATAAACATTTAAAAACTCACTTAATTTTGCCACATATAAATAATCATAAACATCACTTACAAGTTTTTCTTTAGAATATACAGCATTTTTAAGTTTGCTTAATTCGTGAGAGCAAGTATCCAGCTTCTCTCTACACTTTCCTAAAGAATCGGTCAGTGTCAGAGCAGATTTTGCCGAAACAGAGGAAAGAGATGATTCTTCATGTATCTGTAAATAAGTATTCGTAATAGTCTCTTTAGCATTGCCTGATACTATAATAATATGATAATAGTCAACAGATACAAACCACTTTTTTAAGTTCGCTGTCAAAGTCTTGAACTGCCATTTTTGCAGATTGCACAGCATCTTGCACAGTTTTAAACAAATGAGATAAGTTCTGAAAATACAAAAGATATGTTGCCATTATTATATACCGTTATGAAGAATTGAGTAAGTGCATCTTCTTATTGTTGTAAAATTTGTACCTATATAAATATGTACGAAATAAATTTAATTCTACATATATATTCGTTTCAACGAATAGAAGAGTGGCATAAATTATATGATAGCATGTGAGAAGATAATTGATAATCTCTTTATTGCAAAAAACAAAATCTAAATCCAAAAAGTATTCGGAACGTTTAGGACACCATGTTAAAAGTGAGTAAACACGTTTCGAAATCCAAGTTCTCGATTGCGAAAATAATGCACCATCGAATAGCATCTGTTCGTTCCCATGCTCTCTGGCGAAAATTGTTTTTACAAAGTAACTGATACAGTAACGTGTTTGGACTGTTTTAAATTCTCGATTGCGCGAGTAACTGCATAAGTAAGAACGAGCGCGTTAGAATTATCGTAGATAATTTTTCTGCAATAAGATTACATGGGGGGTAACACACTCCATTTTAAAATCACAAATTCTGCGACTTATACGACAGTGATACCAAATATGATACCTTTTAAGGACAATCGACATGGCGCGACGTGTATCGCGATGAGATCATCTCGACACATGTCGTTGCGCAATTCTTGCAACTTTGTAAGGATCAAGCGTTCACATACGGCTGCTGCGATGAAATCTTACAGATTAAATCCATGCAAATCTTACGATCATAGACCAGTGGTATCAAATGTGATATCAATCAAGGACAATCGATGTATTGCGCGAACAGTTCACACAGGGTAGCAGTTTAGTTTCAAAGTCAAATCATCACTCGATATCATGGTGAAATTAAATATGACCAGAAATACAATATTTGCGAAACAATTTCTCAGGTATAAACGTTTTGTTATACGCAATAGCATCATTTGGTTAATTAATGTTTTAAAACATAAAATGAAAAGACTGGGATACATTCCGTTAGTAATCGCGAGGACTGAAAGTCATGATACACCACATTATTTGTGAAGTCAAATGAAAACAGATATTGCACCTCTCGATGATGAATTGACGAAGTAGAAAACATTCGACAAGAAGCAGAAGTACAAGTTGCAATAGTTACCTCGTGTTTAGATGGATAATCGCAACGTAAGAGCGTTGTATCTGTGTCGCACTCTGTATGCTTTGTAATAAAAATGAGAATTTTAATAAAGAAAAAGGAAATGTACAAATATGTACTTGTATAATTAGAAAATTGTTACTTACATAAGCATTTGCGATTTCTGTAGATTTTTTAATATTCGCTACATTATTTAAATTTTTCCTAAGATCATTCTCCACTTCCTTTTGCATTTTGATCTAAAACCCAGAATTATAATGTTAGTGTCTATTTTAATGATAATTTTAGATTTATAAAAAGAGTTCTGATGCCTACAATATTTTCTAGTTCTATTATCTTCTTTTTCAGTTCCATATTATCTTTGCTGTGACACTGTCTATAATTTTCTGCCTTTGCTCGTGCAGTAATTAGCTCCTTCTCCATAGACTGAATATTACTCTTTAAAAAATTAATTGCTTCTTGTTTGCATTTTACCTGTTACAGAGTAACATTATATAGCTTACAATTAAAGATAAAATTTTCTATTTAACTAAAAATATTTACCTCATGTTGCAACATTCTGACTTGGTCTTCTAAATCGATTATACGATTTTTCCACTTATTTAGTCTCTCATCATACTTCATTTGACATGTTTGCTACAAACACATATATATATATTGTTTTTGTATACAATTTTATTAATATATAATTTGCATGGATTGTTACACAATATATTATAAGAAATTTATTAGTTAAATATAGCTTATTTCTAATAAAAAGTAAATTTAAAAATCCATGTTGGATTACCTGGATCATGTCAAGTTTTAGATCGTCGTATTCCTTTCTTAGTTTATGTAAATCTTCTTTAGTTTTTATTATGTCATTTACTTCCTGTAAGGCAGAGTGTGTAAGTATAGATAAGCCATGAATTAAAAAATTAAAAAAACATTTGTGTACAATAATTGCACATGTTTAACACCTACCTGATTATCATAGGTACAATGAGTAAACTGCTCCTGTAAAATAATATTTATTAAGATAATTATTTTAATAATCTGTATATTATTTGTTTATACTAGATCAAACACTGATGCGAGATTTGTTTTCCTCGATTATATAAAAAAGTATTTCATCCGATGTCAATAGAAAATTTAGTTTCTAATGTAACACAAAGTTCCAAACGTTTTAAAAGACATTACTTGAAATATTTTTCAAAATTAATTTTTATTGATTAAGAAAATTTTATTTCTTTAAAAAAATCACTAACAAAATTGAAGTTTCTTTGAACAATTGAATATGTATAAAAAAGTTGCAATCAACAACCTTTTCTTCCTGTTTTGTGGAAAGAAATGTTTCTAATACATCTTGCATTTTTGTATGTGCACAATCGACTTCTTCTTCGAACTTGGCCAACCTGCATTCCCTTTCACAGAATGTTGTTTTTGCGATTTCGTTGTTTAACAGCTGCATAAAAAATTGTTCAATTGAAAATATATGAAATATAATATTATTTGTCTTTCTAGATATGTCTTCTTATGAGATACTTACCACTTCACTTGTTTTCTTCTGTAATTCCTTTAAAGAATTATCTATAGTGCATAGCTGACTTCTTAATCCTTTTAGTATTGACGTCATACAACCACCCTGAAAGACGGTATTTATATGACATGCATGTTTTTATACGACATATTAATTTCGTAGAAAACTATTTCTTTTTCTTGCAACTATTTTTCTTTCTGAACTAACCTGAGTTTGAAATAATTGCAAATTAATCACTATTTGTTCAACCTCTTCCATTACCACAGTTAGTAAATCATTGTTGATACACGCTTCTGTATATTCAGATTCATTATATCCCTAAAATTCATTTTACACTTTATATTTGACAAATCGATAAAGTAACTTAAGAATAGTTATTTAATAAATATTTCGAACCTGTATATTCGCCTGCATACCATTAATGCAACGAGACAATTCTGATTGAACGTGATTAATTTCATTCTTTATATCCTTCAGTTTAAGATTGCCATTCACGATTCTTTCGCTGTGCCTTAGTCTCTCCTCCTCCTGATAATAAAGAATTATCTTTAAATTATAATGCTAAAACTATAACCAATTTATACATATTTTAACTAAAAGTAAAATTATATTTTAATGATATCCATCATATATAAAACAGGTACATTTCGATATATTATATATAAATATTACTTGTAATTCTAGTCTGTTTATAGCTTCTATTAGTCCTTCTCGCGTTCTTGCCAAGTAACTTTGTGCACTAGTAACCATCTTGCTCAAATCTTCATACTAAAATATAATAAATACAATAAATTAGCATTGATCGGTAATTTGATCATGAACATTTGTGCAAATCTATTTCTTGATTTAGACATACATTTTGATGTCGCGAATTAAATGTCGAAATAACAGTGCTTATTTCCTCGCGAATATCCTCTGTTGCTGCTTGAGCTTCTACAGTGCACACTCTAAATTCCTCCATTAACTTGAATTGCCGTACACTGTTTACGTTTGCCTGAAAGAAGGTATATTAATTAATTTTTCAGTACAATACACGATAGAAATAAAATAGATACTAAAGTATGTAATCTTACTTTAATGTTTTTGGAATCGCTACATATGCAACGACCTTCTTCTTTCCTTACCTGCAAGAAAAATATATGATTAAAATAAAGCTAGTAGTGCGAGTATCTTCAGAAAATAATCTATAAATAAAACAAATTTCGTTTATACATCATGCACATACCATACAATCAAAAACTGTAACTTCCTTCTCTCTTTCTAGATACATTTTAGTAATAATTTCAATGCAATCGATCAGCTTGTCCGACATGTCGCTTGTACAAAGTTTGGTTTTATTTGTGCAATTATTAGATATAATACAATCACCCACCTATAAAATATGTCGGTTTAAAAAAATATATTATTTGCTGTAATAGATTATTTAATTCAAAGTAGCAGTGAATAACATTCTGCAACAATGTTCACTTTTATTCTAGGATAATTCTAGGAAATAACGTTTTTTTACCTCATTATCTTTGGTCAATTTATCTACAAATTTCCCGAGTTCGAGTTTCAAGTCCGATAAAATTTCACATTCTTTCTGGGCGTGTGCTTTTGTACTATTCAGGAATGATATAAATTCATCCTAAAAAAATTAACTCAAATTGTATGACAATATTACAATATAATCATGAATTTTCAGAATATACATGCATATACAGGGTGAGTCTTTCCATATCCGACAAAATTTTTGAGAAGGTAGAACGGATCGAGATGAACGGAAAAGTCCTATACCATTTTGCAATTTTCGTAATAGTTAACGAGTAATTAATTATTAAAAATCGTTATCTTAGGCCGGCCTACCGCCCAATTCGAGCGCGTGGCAAGATGTGACCGCCCGGCGATCGATATTGCTATGCGCACATCTCGCCACGCGCTCGAATTGGGCGGTAGGCCGGCCT